TCTGGTGTTGAATATCTAGAAGAACAATTAAGACATCAATCTTGTAATTTAGATGTCAAATAAAGCGATGAGACGCCCACCCACGCTAAACTCTGGATGTTTTATTACAGTTAAAGCTGGCAAGACACAGTTTTCGAAGACACAATGTCAGGCTATTTTATGAGCTATCTGGAACATCCAAAATAGCATCGAGTTGGGCAATTAACGGGAAGTTTAGGAGGCGGTTGGGCATAGAAATGATAACACAGATCTAGGTGAACTCTACGCTATCTGCACTACTGACCGTAAGCCCGAAAAGGTACTTTACTTTTGCTAAAAGGAAATCCAAGCAAAAATGCCATTTTAAGAAAGTCTGAATAAATTGTGACTTGCAAAGACGTGTACTGGTTTGTTCTATTTTAAACAACTCATAACCTCTTTTTTTTTTTTAAATAACCGGGGGTTTTGTTGTTTGCTTGTTGTTTTGTTGTTGTTGACTTTTTATTTTTATTTTATTTTTTTATTTTTTTTTTTGGGGGGGGGGGGGGGGAGGGGGGAACGGTGAAATAGTTTACTTTGCATCACGGTTTACAGGGGAAACTTTTTTTTTACAGGGCTTACGTGTAAGACATTCTTGGGACTTCGGCAGTGGAACGGAACTCGAGACGGGAGGTTAGAACTCAACCATTCAACCACAACATCACATTCGACCACAACATCATAGAAAGGCGGCCGGACATAATGCTATGCCAATTTGTCCGCTATTCAAATTACAACAAATATTAACAACGTATAATTAAATAAATAAATTACGAACTGCCCTTTGAGAAGGATTCCCTCCATTGTAGAACGTAAAAAAAAAACCCAACCTCCCTTTGATTTGAACGCCATCATTAAGCACTTGAAACAGGACTGTGCTGACCCCAAGCTCCTGTGTGGCATGAACAAGACCGTGTCCAATCAAGTTTCCATTGAAGGTGTCAATCACACAAGCACTGACGCCATCTCCACTCACGGACCCACCGCACACAGTGCGACCAACAAGTCCACGCACGCACGCAACAGCTAGCACCCAGCTAAAGGGTTCGCTAGCTTCAGCCAGATCAACGGCAGCTCTGTAATCTATACGCTATTGATTTTTATATCACGGTTTGATAAGCCCGATGCTGAAAGTTTTTACTTTAATAAAAGTAATCGATTGGATCAATAACTGATAAGAAATATGACACACTCAAACACCGAGACTTACAGAACTACCGCTAAATGTAAACATGGTAATCCAGTTAGTGCAATGTTTACAACAAAATGCCCAAGATGACTGATCTGTATATTGATGAATGGTTCTCTGAACTTATTGTTATTTTCAATCGTGTTGTCAAGGGGAAAAAAGTAAACTTCATTCCCTATAGGAGGACAGCTATAGAAAGGTACAAAGGACCATATCAATCACATCTGGGACAATCCAATTACTGTTTAATGGAGTACTTTTGTGGATTTCACAAAACACTATCATTCTCGGCTTTAGAGTACATGAACGATATCAAGGACATAGAAGTCTAGTTACCAAACCAAAAACAACTTTTCAAACGTAGTTCCATTCAAAGTTTTACTTTTTTAATCATATGGCTCGAAAACACAATTAAAAATGTTAATGCTTTGCATATTGCACTAATCCATAATGTAATTTAGGGCCAGTACAATGTACTCTGGCATAATTCATCATTAATTTAAGGCCAGTACAATGTACTCTGGCATAATTAATCACGCGCATTGATTGATTCGCCACTCTCACCCCTCCATTGAGCAAACAACACCAGCCCAACCCTCGTCCGATGCTATTAAATTCTACAAGCCATGATAGTTGTCAGAAAATAATGACATTGCTATTGATTCACTCATCCCTGCCTGCATCTTCGGTGCACGTCATATTACACTCGCTTGTGTTTGATTCATGCCAACATCCCGCATCACGACACTCGGTGCAGCAAGGTCTCTAAGCCACGATGTTGCATGTTTGATACAACAGTAACTTATGGCATAGTGGATTTAATGTTTACATAACCGAGACGTTTGAGTGTATCACTAGAATTTGCCCCTTCCATTACTATTTCCTGGCGTGGATGGGTACTCCTCAGAGCTGTGTTTACTCTGTGACTTTTGCACTCGGTGCAGCAAGGTCTATAAGCCACGATGTTGAAGGTTTGATACAACAGTTACTTATGGTATATTTTCATGGCTAGTTAAGTGGATTTGGTGTTTACATGACCGAGGCTCTTGCTTGTATCACCAGAATTTGCCCAGCTTGCCTGTGCTGACTTGATCGGGTACCTATCAGAGTTGTGTTTACTCTATGACTCCTAACAAATCACAGAAGACAAGACACCAAGACTACACCAAGACTTGAGGAAGAATACACAAAGACTACAGAAAGACTACACCAAGACTAGAGGAAGAATACACAAAGACTACAGGAAGACTACACCAAGACTACACCAAGACTAGAGGAAGACTACACAAAGACTACAGAAAGACTACACCAAGACTAGAGGAAGAATACACAAAGACTACAGGAAGACTACACCAAGACTAGAGGAAGACTACACAAAGACTACAGAAAGACTACACCAAGACTAGAGGAAGAATACACAAAGACTACAGAAAGACTACACCAAGACTAGAGGAAGAATACACAAAGACTACAGGAAGACTACACCAAGACTACACCAAGACTAGAGGAAGACTACACAAAGACTACAGAAAGACTACACCAAGACTAGAGGAAGAATACACAAAGACTACAGGAAGACTACACCAAGACTAGAGGAAGACTACACAAAGACTACAGAAAGACTACACCAAGACTAGAGGAAGAATACACAAAGACTACAGAAAGACTACACCAAGACTACACCAAGACTAAACGAAGACTTCCGGGTGTTCAGCTCTGAGCCCCTTAACAAAGCTCCTCTATCCACATTAAGTAGTGCATAAACTGCACGAAGAGCTTTACAGCCTATAACTTAAAGCTAACGTTTCCTGTATCCACCAAGCAATATCATATGAGCTCGAGTACTATTCTCCCTCATACAAAGTATTATTACATACTGTATTGAGGGTCACACCAACAAACTCGTCTAAAGATAATTACTGTGGAACAGATCCTAACAGAAAAGAAAGCCAAGACAAGTGACTAACTAAAAAATCAGCTTCAAGGGCTCACACGAAGGTCAGAGAGGGGCAGACAACTTAAATATGAGGTTGGCCTGTGAGCGGCTAGCGTGGCACCACTGTAATAGGATAAAATATTGATCCGCAGCAGGGCTGGTCTAGATTAGACAGTTGAGGACAGAGAGAAGCCAGAAGGGGCGTAGCGCCTACTGTTTGTGGAGTTTACAGGCCCGTGTGAAGGGCAGGGGCCGGGGGGTGTCAGAAGGGAAAACACATTACATTTTAAATGTTTAGATTTGAAGATTAGCAAACTCCATTTGCATCACTGGCGCATTATTTAAATATCTAAATCAACAGTCGCGAATTCGTCTCAAAGTCGATCCAGCTCTACAGGTAACTGGAATATCGTATTAAGGTGGTTAGGCATTATGCTGCAATTCTTTACGCGGGTTAAGAAACGTAACAATAACCACCGAAATAACTCTAACCTTCACATCAGCTGTAGTAACAAATAAGCAGAACCGCTACCACCACTAGCACAAGCTAGCACTATTGGTACTCACTACAACTACTACCACACGCGAACAGTTACTACACACTCTTTACACTCTCTACCACTACAACAACTAGCTACAACGAACTACCACTTTTACCACATACATCCACTATTACTGCAAGTTAACAATATTACCACATGCATCCTACCAATTTTTCTAAACGCTACCACCTACTACCACTAATACCACACGCTACACAATACTATCAACATTACTACACGCTACCACCTACTACCACAGGCCAACCACACGCTACCACCTACTACCACAGGCCACACCATACTATCAACATTACCACCTACTACCACTAATACCTCACGCCGCACCATACTATCAACATTACTACACGCTACCACCTACTACCACAGGCCAACCACACGCTACCACCTACTACCACAGGCCACACCATACTATCAACATTACCACCTACTACCACTAATACCTCACGCCGCACCATACTATCAACATTACCACACGCTACCACCTACTACCACACGCCACACCATACTATGAACATTGCCACACGCTATCACCTACTACCACAGGCCACACCATACTATCAACATTACCACCTACTACCACTAATACCTCACGCCGCACCATACTATCAAAATTACCACACGCTACCACCTACTACCACACGCCACACCATACTATCAAAATTACCACACGCTACCACCTACTACCACACGCCACACCATACTATCAAAATTACCACACGCTACCACCTACTACCACACGCCACACCATACTATGAACATTGCCACACGCTATCACCTACTACCACACGCCACACCATACTATCAACATTACCACACACTACCACCTACTACCACACCATACTATCAACATTACCACACGCTACCACCTACTACCACATGCCACACCATACTATCAACATTACCACCTACTACCACTACTACCACACGCCGAAACATACTATCAACATTACCACCTACTACCACTACTACCACACGCCGAAACATACTATCAACATTACCACAAAATACCGCCTGCTGCCACTGCTGCCACTACTACTACCAGTCTTTACCACCACAAACAGCATCAACAACGTGTGATTTGCCAACTGGTCCCTCGGGGCTAAAACTCTACTCACAACATCATCAAATAGTTGACAATATTGCCATGCACCTTTCGGTCTGTTTGAACATCCTTGTATACGCCCCCCCTCCTTTGTCTACACACACCTGTAGTAGGTAAAACAACCTCAGGTGTTTAAGGTGCTAGCAACTAGGTCCATGCTACTAGGTAAAGATGTATTAAAATCGGACTCACCTAAAACGAGGAGATAATCCAGTTAATCCCACGAACCGGCACTTGTTCTCCAACAAGAGGCACTTTATTAATCCAGATGTTTATTCTATCCACTGGAAAAAATGTAATCCATCGGAATGAAGAGTTATATAAGGAAAGTTTCCAGCTTTATAATCCAAACAGAAGTGAAACAGAAGGCACTACTGTCTAGTTCTAGATAGTGTCATTCCTATAGGTAAATAAAAGAAACAAAACAGCATTTATTTTATAGTTTAGGTATGTGTGCGTTTTTTTTTTTGTTTTTTTTTTTAAGGAACTATTTTACCTAAGCTATTTTTATATAATGTCAGATTACAAAAACTAATATATTTCTAATAATATCGGCATTGTAAAATAAAAATGATTAAGCATAAAATATGTAACGAAAACAACTTTAGTTGTACTTCTACATTTGGTAACTACAACGCGTTTTAACAAAATACACTCCAGCTATCATAAAGTAACAGCTGTATTGAATGATACACTGCCCTTATCTAGTCTCTACACTAACATTTCAAACACGTTCTTTATCCGCCAGAAGTCAGTGATTGAGCTTTAAAAATCTACATTTCCTGCTATTTCAATTGCTGTGAAATTGTTTTTTCCTTCTATTGCAATCAACCAAGAACACGCCGAGGTAATCACCAGCACATTTTACAAACACAAATCCAATAGAATGACAATATTAAGTCCATGTGTGAGTCACAGTTAAATGACGACACTTTACTACAGTACCCAGATGTGCTAACGAGTGAACTTTACTGCAGTAACCCGGTGAGCTAAAGAGACACTTTAATGCAGTAACCCCGTGCGCTCCGAATGAGAAACTTTACTGCAGTAACCAGGAGTTCTATTTTACTGCAGTAACCCGCGTGCTAGCAAGGCACTTTACTGGAGTAACCCGGCTGGCTCAGAAGAAGACACTTTACTGCAGTAACCCAGCGTGCTACCACTTTACTGCAGTAACCCGGCGCACTAGCAGTATACTGTAGTAACCCGATGGGTTAGCACTTTACTGCAGTAACCCGGCGCACTAGCAGTATACTGTAGTAACCCGATGGGTTAGCACTTTACTGCAGTAACCCGTCTGGCTCCGAACAAGACACTTTACTGCAGTAACCCGCTGAGCAAACTGGCTATATTTTACTGCAGTAACCCGCGTGCTAACAAGGCACTTTACAGCAGTAACCCTGCGTGCTAACACTAAACAGCAGTAACCCGGCGTGCTAGCACTTTACAGCAGTAACCCTGCGTGCTAGCACTTTACAGCAGTAACCCTGCGTGCTAGCACTTTACTGCAGTAACCCTGCGTGCTAGCACTTTACAGCAGTAACCCTGCGTGCTAGCACTTTACTGCAGTAACCCGCTGAGCAAACAGGCTACACTTTACTGCAGTAACCCGGCTACACTTTACTGCAGTAACCCGCTAAGCAAACAGGCTACACTTTACAGCAGTAACCCGGCGAGCCCCGAGCGACTTACCCCAACAGGGTGTAGCTATGTAACGCTTCTACACGGTGCCGGTACAGCCCTGTCGGCTGCTGCAGAGAACCACAACCACCTGACAGTTAGGAACTTCCTGCCCCGTCCACCCTGATAATTCCGCTCTTCCTGTTGCCAGCGACACTTAAGCGCTATTTGACACAGATCTTTTTTTTTAACAAACCACGTTTAAATGCTAGTCCACTTAGAGATAATAGTACACCAAATTATGCGGGGGATCTTGTATTTTCCACGCCTAATTTATCACTGCTTTCTGAATTAAAATAATTCTTTATATTTTTAATTAATTACATCACTGAAAGATGATCTAATTCTTATGAAATCTCTTGTAAATAATACAAAGTACCCAAAAACACATTAGCTTCTAAGCTAGTCTACATGTTTAACCGATGTATATATATATATATATATATATATATATATATATATATATATATATATATATATATATATATATATATATATAATGTTTATACACAGTAACAAACGTAAGCTCATGTAGCCAAAACTGCACACAAAATCGGCCACATACCTTCTGGATGTGTATATTTTAAGAACACGTAAAAAAGAAAAGATTTACGTTAAAGCTAAAATCCAATAGAAATAGAGCGATTGACGGGAGCAGCAGAGAGGCATGGCCTTGTGTTCCCCGCCTCAGCAACATGCAGTAACAGCCGACATGCACACGCCTAGTGGCTGAGCACGGCGCTGGAAATATGCATACAACAAGGACATCGCAGCCCTCCCCCGGTTAGAGCCAGTCCAACAATGCCGTTGTGTTCGACAATTTTTTAGACGGTGTCGGACACGACCACGCGGGGAATCGGAACCGATGCTGGAACAGTTGGGTTCGCCCGAGACGCGTTTTCGTGGGAATAAGAAAAGAATTTTACCTCGAGAGTTCCCAGTATCCCAATGTTCTAAAAATAAGTCGCCGCTTTTTAAGAACGGTAACTCTGGAATCAAGATCGCAGGACTGGGAACTGTAGTAAACAGTTCTATATATCAGAAGCCCGAGTGCGTCATAGAGTTGTCTGCGCGTTGTGGTTGCGTCATTCGGTTCCATACGTGCGAAAGAGGGGGGGGGGTGAGATTACGCATTTTAAGGCAGTAATTTCTCATTTCGGGAAATCAGCACATTTTGGTATTTTATCTCTTTTATCATCAGTTAAAAATAGACATAGATACGAAGATAGTTTTAAATTCCGTATTATAAGAATAACTTGGAGGGAATCTCCAACATGTTCTTTACTGAACGAATTTTTTTTAAAAACCTTAAGGGTTGGAAAATACTAAATATTAGTATAGAAGACTGGTAGAAACAATGTTGATTACCAGCGGAAGTAATAGCTAAATATAATAAGCTCTGGCTAACACAAGCCAATACACCACTATAACGTACACATACACACGCCAACAAAAGTATGTGGTCACACACACACGTCGACACACCACAATAATATGCACAAACACACAAGTGCAGACTTTCAAGACAATTATGTTCTCTATCTCACAAATACACGTCAACACACCACTATTGTGTGCTCACACACACCAACACATCACTATAGTGTGCACACACACACACGCCAAAATACACATATAGTGTTATCACACATGCCAATACACCCCTACAGTGTGCTCACACACACCAACACATCACTATAGAGTCACAGATACACGTCAACACACACCTATAGTGTGCTCACACACGACAATACACCCTTTAATATGTTCACACACAAGCCCACACACCACTAATAATGTACTCACAATATCCCCCCCCCCCCCTAACACAACGATGATAACACACTACCCCATTATGCTCTATCATAATGGTTATATTGCCCTTGGCGAGCTACCGTTTCGTGGCAACGAGTTCACAGAACAATATGCGTAACTCAACAACCACTTATAGACCTCATTAGCTGCCGGAACACAAGAATGTGGAGAAAATCAGTTTAAAAAATAAAAGAGGACATTTACAAAATTTTAGCACGTCAAAGCTAAAACACGCGGGGATATAAAAATGTTATTTACGTTACAAGGTCGTGGTGACATACAGCGACCTGCCGGGTAGTTTAAACCATGACGTGGGTTTCACTATTGTTTTGTAATGAAGCTGTAAACACGCTAATAAAAACCATATACATGCTATATTTTTTATGCCGAAACGCGCAGTTCTAGAATATGAATATGGTACTAAGTTAATCATAAACTATACTATTCAACCTCTTGGATAAAGGGGGTTGTAAATGAATCATATACATGTAATTAAAAACTAATAATTATTTATATGGTATAACCCGTTGCGATATTAATAAATAGACAAATTTCGAATTAGAAAAATGTAACTGTCAAGTTCTTGATATGTAATGGGATAAATTAGAAACATTTGAAAAAACATACACTTTTAAACAGTGCCTTATATTCTCTTACACGTTTACATTTAAATTGTGCCACTTTATATTCCCTTACATGAATAATTTTAAACAGCGTCTTACATTCCCTTACGTATATACATTTACCAGTGTCGTATATAATTTTAACAATGTCTTATTTCCCGTTACATGTATACATTTAGCCAGTGTATTATATTTCCTTACATGTATACATTTAACCAGTGTATTATATTTCCTTACATGTATACATTTAACCAGTGTAATATTCCCTTACACGTATACATTTAACCAGTGTATTATATTTCCTTACATGTATACATTTAAACAGTGTCTTATTTTCCGTTATACTTCTACATTTAACGAGTGTCTTATATTCCCTTAAATCAGGCAAAACGCTAGCGCCGGACCACACAGAACAGACCTCTGTAAAGCGTGCCGCGTGATGGGGCTGTTCTCGTGTGGGTTGCGCCCGTCAGATCGATAACACAACGCTTGACTCATTCTTTTCTCTACTGCCAGTAAGGTATTGATCAGCACAGTCTACGACTCACCCACGATTCTCAGCACTACGATACCGAGGGCAGCGAGTATATTTATTTTTTACTATTTCTGGATATATATGTAACCATTTCCCCCCAAGAATCGATTATTAGCAAAGAGAACGAATACCCAGATAGAAATGTGTGCAACACAAGATTATCTCATCATCCACGCCTATATAACCAGCAGCGTATACATTAAACATATCCAATGCCCCAGATTGTTTTGTTGACACGTGACGCATACAGCCCCATGGTTATTTAGTTATGAATTAAATCAATGTGTTCAAATTGATGTTGTACTTATTAGTAAAGGTGGCAACATATGGAATGGATGGGCTCAGTACATTGAACTAGGACAGGGGTCGGCAACCTGCGGCTCGCGAGCCGCATACGGCTCTTTTGATATCAAGATGCGGCTCTCCAGCTCCTTGCACAAATACTAATAATCTTAATAAAAAAAAATATTTGAAATAAAAAAAAATGTTAGTGGCTCTTTAAAAACAGGGAAATTTTGAAAATTGTAACTTTTGGCTCTTCCGCTTGAAAAGGTTGCTAACGCCTGAACTAGGAGATGTTCGTTCTTTTTTACATCTGGTGGGAGAATCACCTATGTTTAACTGATTTTTTTTTATAATGCAGGATAGAGGTTAGGAAAAGAAAGAAAAAAAGAAAAATAAAACAATGGGGAAAATGCTTCGTCGGAATAAAAAAAAGATTGATTTAAAAAGAATAAAAAAAGATTG